ATCGCCGGACTACCTGTGTAACAGTGGCATACTCATGCACGCCCTGTTGTCGATGTTTCATTATGTTTACGAATCTCTCTCCCTCTCGGTATATTACAGTTTTATTACTCTTTCTGGCTCGCCCTAGACTTGAAGTCTGGGGCCGAATCCATTTTGCTCTACGCTGTAAGAAACGGGATAAGTGTGTGTTTGTGTCTTGCCAATTTCGCCTACCAGCCAGCCAGAAGTGAGAGGGGCTGGCTTTTTTTAAGTGAGACCGACCTTTCTTGTTATTACCCTCCACCGTCTATTTAGATGAGGGAGGAACTGGCCTCCAAGATAGCGGCCTCTGTTCCGCGTACAGACCATGAAGCCCTCCAGTCCAAGTGCTCAAAACTTGAGGCTGATTCCAACCGCCTGCTCACTCAACTGGAATCCACTGTTCCCAGGGCTGAGCACGAGACGCTGCAGGATGATCACCGTCATCTGGAGTCCGAATACGCGGACCTGTCACAGGAGCTGCAGCATGTATGTCCTGCTTTCCTTTCGTGTCGCCTGTCCTTTTCGTTCATGCCGTAGTAACTGCACTGCCCTCGGTTCATATGGGGATATTTTTTTGATCGACACGGGGTTACCATGGCTTCTGTTGACGCTCTGATGCATGTGATCACTGTGAGTCACTCTTAGAGATGGCTGGTTCAGGCTGTGTGGAGCGGGTCGTGTGTAGTACATGTAGACGGCCCATTTAACGTTTTCTAAATGGCGCCCGTATCTACCGGTAACTTTGGCTATTGTCTTGTATTGTATCGTATTGTATAGAGGACATCATCGCAGAGAGGCAACAATCACATGTGGTTTATCGCATAGCATGCACAAATTGCTCTTGCGCGTATATTTGTCACATTGGTCGACTGCTGGGTATTCGTATCAAGGAATATTAATTAGCCGTCCGTCAGCGGGACCCCCTGTTCCTCGTCTTCGCACACGCAACCGAATGCGATCATAGGTTTAATAGAGATGACACTGTGGTCGTCGCCATGGCCAACACAAAAAGGGCACCAGAATTCCTCAAGGTTTGATATTCCATAGGTGGTAGTATCAGCCGCCACTTTGATTTGAACGCCCAACATGATGGCCTACGTTCACGGCTTACTGTTACCTGTCCTAATACCATATCAGTGACCGTCAACCGAGTCACCTCGACTTAACTGATCCGCTATCCTTCTCTAACACAGAGCGTTTTAGTTGTTCCGTCCCCACCCCGCTCACAAACACACAGCTGACCACTTCACACGCCAGTGGCCTAGTTGTCCTGTTGTCCTAAACTGTCTTCTGTGACCTTCTTACTTCCGCACGTCGTGCACATGGTAGTTCGCACAGGTCAATCCGTTAGCGTACTCTTATACAGTCACTTCTTGAGGAAGCTCGATGTGATTGCGGAACTGTCCGCTGTTATTTTGAATATTGCCAGCTCTTCTATGTTCATTGTGACTTGTTACTTTATGCCTGAATGTGTCGTGAGTCCTGAGATGACTGTGAGTTTGCCTTCACTAGAGGCGTTGAGATCGGTTTTAAATTATGAAATGAGAAAGTGGCGTTTGTAAGGCATGTGCGGTTACTTGCTACTGAAGAGGTGGTCAACTCAAAACCTGGCTCGACTCAATCCGTCAGGACATGGAAGTGGCTCTTGAGCCCTCATTATTTAGCCTCCGGCGTTGGGGACGATGTTACGGAGGCGGGAGCCCCCATGCATTCACGGCAGTCGGCGAAAAGGACAGACCAGCTGAGTCATGTCCACAGTCTAGCCGCCCGTGGTACCACCCACATAGCGGGGACAGTGGTTGTAGTCGGGATCAGTCTAGAATGTCTGCGCGCACATTATACGCTAGGAATATTCTGGAAAGATCGGAACCATGTAAATATGCCAAAGTTGACAAGCTAAAGGATGGCCCCGCAAGCCCCACTGTGCTGTTGAATAAAACCATTGCCTATCAGAACCACTCTCTTGGCTTCTTCTGCCTATTATTCGGGTCAGAATAAGCTGAGCTATAACAGACGAGAATGGATTGA